GCATAATTTGGGGCGTCAGAGTCTCCAGTAGGGTGTTCTAAAACAATCTGACCCCGATTTCTTTCTATATATATAAAGTTGTTCAGCCGAATTTGTGTCTTCCCGCATAACTAGAGAACTCCGCAGCCTCGAGGAAAACTAAATATATTTTCAGAATCAGCACGTCTGGGAAAATTTCCAAAAGATTAAAAAGTTAAAAATTTATAAAAATTCTATTCATCAATAGATCGCGTACAGATTAACATTATACATCACGTATGTATGAATCCATGGTGTATAACCATAACGGCCCAGTATCCGAATGGATAAAGCATCGAACTCCTAATCCATTGATTCTGGGTTCAAATCCCACCTGGGGAAATGCTTTGTTTCTTTAATTTTGGACTGTTTAGTATGTACTTCTGCCGTATTCACCGTTAATTTCAAAATTTACCACATTTTTTTACCACATTTTTTTACCACATTTAAGCGTTTAGTAAAAATCCAGAATAAACTATGCATGGTAGATGATAATGATAGCGCAAACTGAAGGGAACACTTCACGAAAGCCTATGTAGGTTACATATCAAATAATATTATATTTTCTATATAATTTCAATTTATTATTTATAATTTGTGACTTTTTTATTTTAATGAATTTTATCTTTTGATTTCTTGTTATTTTTTACTCTTGGGATGGGATGGGATGGGGATGGGGATGGGATGGGATGGCATGCGATGGGATGAGATGGGATGGGATGTCATGGGATAGGATGGGATGCGGTGCGATGGGATGGCATGGCATGGCATGGCACGGCGTGGGATGCGATTAGATGGCATGCGATGGGATGGGATGGGATATGGGATGGGATCGGATGCGGTGCGATGGGATGGGATGGCATGGCATGGAATGCGATGGATGGATGGATGCATGGATGGATGGATGGATAGATAGATAGTTAGATTTTTTGGGTATTTTCCTTTCAACCAAGCGGTCACCAACTGAGTAACGCCACTGACTTCCCCGGGCAACGGCGGGTATCCCGCTAGTTATTAATAAAAAGACGCCCTGGGTTCCTTACATCCCGGTTCCCCGCAACGATGAATAAATGGCTTTCCGTGCCGCTGGTCGGCGCTGGTGTTGTGCATGGGATATAATCATAGAAGTGAAGAGAGAACTCTCTTCAAGAAGAGTTCTCTCTTCACTTCTATGGATATAATATAATCGGGAGTGTGTAATATAGAATCTACATCATATACTCCTAATATAGTCATAGCGATAACAGAT